CCCTTACCATAATCGCGAGCGTCAGCTTTCAAAGTAAATATCAAGACAGTTAATAATGTCGTTAGTTTTACCATCAGTTCAAGCCCGAAAGGGCAACAGAGTCGCGTGACAGACACAGTGATGATGCAGTACACAAGCTGCGGTTAAGACAGCTGACGTGCTATGATTTCTGACAGGCAGTTCACTCTCCTGTGATGTGACCCTGTTCCCCTCTCACACACACACACACACACGCACACACGCACACAAACAAACAGGATGCGTTACTCTGCGCTGCGCAAAACTCACAGCCAGCCTTGTACTCTTCTAGGTTCAAAAAACTGTCATCCATAAATGGATGCACAGCGTTGCACAAATTGGAACATCTGGGTTGTGCTGTTCTGTTGTAAATAAATCTTAACCAATGATTCCTAATTGCATCTACTTCCGGAAGGCCAAATAAAGTGCTTTTGCTTTCGCACTGAATCACACAGCATCTCCCTGACATGGCTGCATCAACACGACTGCTGTTCCTGAAACCACGCCTTCTTTCTTGCACATTTGGGCAGAATTATGCTAATATTTACACATAGTGACGTATGTGGCGTGTTAGAACGAGCCGTTTTAGGTAGGCGTGGCTGACTCTTAACTTTTATAAAGAATATCTCTTTGGATTTGAGACTTTAGTCTTTGCAACTTTACAGATCTTCTTAATGCACCAAGAGCTTGTAACACTCCAAAGAGAAAAGAAAACTTGAAATCGCATCATATGACCCCTTTAACCAAGAACTGATGGGTAAAGAAAATTAGCAGTTTAGATTTATTTATTTATTTATGTTTCCTCTTGCAAATTATGCTAATAAAACCTACTGGAAAGGTTTACATTTAACTAAATCTAAATGTCTATTTAATACATCATTTCGTTTAAACAGAAGTAAACGATAAACACCCAATTACGCCATGACGTAAAAGAATTTCTGAATCATTGTAACCGGTTCTTTGAAATGAGCTGCTCGAAAGAACCGACTCGCAGAGATACCTTCCGCACTTGCAGTCAGATACCACAAATAAACCGAACAAACTGTTTTGTCTTCACGTTGAGTGGTTTACCTTTTCCGAATTTGACTACCGCCACGATTTAAACTGTAGTCGTCTGTATCTACAATACAAAGGGATTCCGAAGATTAACTGAAAACTAATTATCTCTCTCTCTCTCGCTCGCTCACTCACTCTCACACACACACACACGCACACACACACACACACCCAAGAGTGAATCGCGCTCGTGCGCTCGCTAACAGGTGTTTCTCTTACATGGCTCTGTTTTGTGTGCTGCTGTGACTGACTGCTTTGTGGGATGCTGCGAAACGTGTGCTCGGTGTCTGGAGGAACATCTTCTCCGTTTTTAGTCGAAATGGCTAGATAGTGACATTATCTGGAGACAGATGCGGTAAGACTGCAGCCAATTGAATGTAGAGCCGTTTGAGGACTTTATCTCCGAAGAAAAGGAGCGTTGGAGAGATGCGCGTACCGTCACCTACATAATTGCGTTTTGTGTTAAAGCTGTATTAGTTTACAACTCCTTTCCGCCGATCTGTCATTCTCATTAACGACTTGTGAATGAAGACTTGAATGTGAGCTGTTCAGTGAAGATTTTCCTAAAGAAATCGTGTCGTTGAGGAGGTGGGGAAACGGATTGTGTCCTGAAAGTTTTGTGTGTCGCACCGTCAAACTGGCCATGGCTGCGGCGATCGCCAGCTCCCTTATTCGGCAGAAGAGGCAGGCGAGGGAGCGTGAGAAATCAAACGCCTGCCGCTGCGTGAGCAGTCCGAACAAAACCAAAGGAACATGCGAGAAACCCAGTCGACTCAGTGTCTTCTCCAGAGTCAAGCTTTTCGGCTCCAAAAAGCGCAGGAGGAGACGACCAGGTCTGATGTTACCTGTGTTTTTGAATCCTGACTTAATATGGCTATTATATGTGTAACAGCATCTCTATCATTATCAATGCATTTGTGTCTGTACTTTTAAAAATAATGGATTTTAAAATGTTGCATTTGTAATTTTCAAAAAGTACCTGCCATTCCTATTAAGCAGGGCACTTACTGCTTTCAAAATTCAGCCAGCATGTACTTTCACACTTAAGAGTGAGATCTCATTCAAACTCAGATACACGACCTTACTGAACTTTTCAGGCATTTTGACCAAATAATTTGTAAGGGGGAAAAGACAGAATTGTATACAACTTCGTTATTCTGCAGATATTGTGCTGCAGTGATGTTGATACTGATTCAGTGTCAGCTCTCTAGTGTGTTTCATCCCTTCAGAGACACAGGAACAATAGAAAGCAAACTAAGCAGGTTATTGTTTGGGACATTTTTGGACAACAGCTATCTAGCAAGCTAGATGAGTCTGGTGATTTAGTCTCACAATCTGGACCATATAGATATTCTGCAGCAAAATCTGCTGTTACCTGTTTTGAATGATTTTTATAGTTTTATTAACTACGGAAAGTGACTTCAGGTCAAATAATTAAGTAACATAATTCATTATTGATATTATGATGATCTGTGTGTGGTCAGACTTTGTGTGGACGATCTGTAGTTTACAACTCCCTCCATAAGTAGCAAGACGGATCATATTCTGCTTGGAAATCAGTAGAAATTTTCTTTAATTGTGAAGTACATCCATCCATCTATCCCACGCACACATTCAGCACAACTGTTTACTTACAAGCTTGTCATAGTCCCAATTACCTTGCCTCCCTCCCCAGACAGCATCTTACATAACCCTTATGTGACACCTAAGCAGAAGTGTGGAAGTTTGTGTGTGTAGAGTGGCAGTTGTTTGCAGCAGTGATTCTGTCTTTTTTAAACAGTCTCATGCCTAACAATCTTGTTTACAGATGCACATGTGAGTGAAATATTAGGGGATGAGTGAAATATTAGGGGATGTTTTACATTTTAAATAGTTTAAATTATATATAAATAGTTTTTATTATAAGATGTAACCTAATATCCACATTTTTTAATCTCCTATGATATATGAAAGTTAATCAGTGTTAATAGCATGATCCACCGACTCTCTAAGCCTTATTAATTACAGATCTGCTGATGCAATCTGGTATTTTGCACAGGAGAGCTGTGTCCTGTATAGTTGTGCTTCTTAGTTCCAGTCATGCAGATCAGACCCATGTAAGGTGATACAGCTCTCTGCATTTACATATTCGCATGAATTCTTATCATGGCCAGAAGACTGCAGTTTCCTTGCAAATTGCAGCTATCACCAATTTTCTATGTGGTGGCTCTGGTGACTATTCCCACAAGTAGATTTTTTTTTTTTTGTTTGTTTGTTTTTGTTCCTGTTCTTCTGTCACTGTGGTCTGATCTCTTGTTTGTAATGCAGGCTCAAATCTGTAGACCATGGAAAGCTCTTGCTAAGCCAGGAGCATTAAAGCCCCTAACACTTTCACTGTGGCAATGCCTGTTTAACCCTGTCTTTTTCTCATTCTCTCTCTTTCTATCTTCTGTCTCTTTGCAGAGCCCCAGCTGAAGGGGATCGTAACAAAGCTGTACAGTCGACAGGGCTTTCATTTGCAGCTCCAAGCAGATGGAACCATTGACGGCACTAAAGAGGAGGACAGTGGTTTCAGTAAGTCAGCTGGCCTCTTAGAATGTTCTCAAATATTCACCTGTCAAGTAGTGGTCGACCGATATTGTTTTTTTTGACAGCCGATATCTTGGAAAGCAGTGTGGCCGATGGCCGATATAAAGCCAATATAGTTTTATTTAATATTTAAGAAATTTGAAATCATTTTAAAATGGATTAAAAAATAAATGTGTAAAATAAACATGCTTATACTTTAAATGACAGAGTATTTTTCACAAATAAACAAATATTTAATAAAAAATATAATTAAAAAGGAAGTAAACACTGTAACCAACAGGGCACTCTGGGAAGTTTGTGTGTATTGGGAATCACATTTTTTCAAATAAAGCCAAGGTAACACTCATTTTACATACAGCACACAGTGAAAATGACATTAATATGACATTGGGCAAAAGCATGAAGCGCAGCATAATTTGAAATCACGAATGTAAAGTTTGTCGATCGCGCGTCTCGGTGAAGCTGAACTCTCCTCCTGTCCGTATTCAATTCGCATGGACTGACCGTCATGCAGAGAACACGCGATCGTGAAGGATACAAATGCACACTTCATAAGATCTCACAGCTGGATTCGACTAAGTTTGCAAGGTTTTTGAAATCAGATGTTCATTAGTCATTCAAAGATTTGTTTAAATTATGTAAATGCGTATTTGCTGAATGCTGACGGCAAACGAGAAAGTATTATAATGTTTGCCTTTCTATTACTAACAATATAAAAGCAATCGTTATAATACTTTTTTGTATACATTTTAATTCCTTTGTTTAACAGTTCTATCTGATTATTAGACAGACTTCTGTCCGTGGACAGGATTGTTAACAACAACAGCGAACAGGAGGGAAAATGTGAGCACTGTGTGTTCAGGCGCTGCCGTTCTCAGTGCCGTCAAAATAAAAGTCCCGCCATGAACGCCTCGGCCAAACAGAAAAACTTATCGGCCGATGCCAATATTTGAAAAATGCCAAAGATCAGCCGATATATCAGCCTTGGCGATATATCGGTTGACCACTACTGTCAAGACACAAGTTCAGAGCACTGATACATTTTGGACACTGCTGTATGAATGTTTTTGTGTTGTATGACAAAACATTGAGTGGTGTTCCGTTTTTAAGAAATATAGGATTAATTTTGCTTCACAAACATGTTTTAGGCCTCAAATGATTCAGCAATAAATATACAGTTTAGAATAAAGAATTAATTAAAAAATTTATTTGGTTGCCAAACGTTAGTGGAACTTGTCCATAGTTACTCAACTATGACAGTGAAGGGAACTGACTGTATACTTTCCTTAAAAATCTCCTCAAGACCAGCTGGTAAAAAGTAATTGCAAAAATGCCTTAGAAAAGTGAATTTAGTTCTAGTCTTGCATCATTTGCAGATGCCACTTGGTTTGATATGTTGCATCTAATGCAATGACATCCAGACATTTTTAAGTGCAACTTAAGTGTCTAAATGCTTTTTCGGGGTCACTGTATGTCTACTCATATTTCAGTGACAGCTGCTGTTGTTATTGTTTCCTTGGCAGCTGCACTGCTCCTTCAGACTGCATTTCTGTCTCATACTGGCACTTATAGACAGACAGCTTCAGCTGTGCTTTTCACTTTTTAATACCGTTACAGTTCCTGTATTGGTCACAAGAGTCAAGAGGCTCAGTTCTGTATTATCCTGAAATGAAAAATGTAGCCGGAGCGGTCACTGTTTTTCAGAAAACAATTCTTCAGAGAGCACAGTCAGTGTAGCTGGAAAGCCTAAGTTCAAGAGAAACATTTTTAGGCAGATGTCCATAGTGCCTGAAAAACAACTTTTTTTGTCCCTTACGACCAAAGATTATTTTGTGTCATTTGAAGTCATCTTGCCGGGCACCTGCAAGTGTGAATTATTTATTCCGTAGGCAAGTGCGGCATCACCCAATCAGTGTTTGAGCAATGCTGTGTCTATGAGCGAGGATGGAGCTGGCTGGATGGTTGGCAGGGCTCTAATTTAATATGTGCTATATCTCTCTGACGCTAAGTGTCTGTGGCGTTCTGGGGCCTGTAAATTAGCTTGACTCTATTCAATTAGTCATTGGGTGAAGATGACGCTCATATCCAGCAAATGAGTTTGTGGTGAACGGAGTCATTTGGAACTGTGATCACTCGAGTCTCCAAATCCCCTCATCCATCATGCTCATTCAGATTAACATAAATTTGTATCTATTGCACATAAACAATGTTTAACATGAAGAGCCTTGCTAATTGAAATAACACCCTCTACTTGAATTTAAATAGTGGTTGTTTGACTCAAGCATTCGTGTTTTATTCACCCTTGAGTTGAATCTGCACCACCGGTGCAGCTGGCCAGTCCATCTCTTGCTGCATGCTTGTTTATTTTCTTGTTTGTGTTCTTCCCCTGCATGATTGACTGAGGTAAAATGAGTTATATAGGGGTGAGATTGCATAATAGCTGACCTGCTTTTTCCCCCACACTCCCTTGTTTTGTGGAGAGAATGAAAAGCTGTTGCTGGAGAGGAGAAGTGGGAAAACAGGGAGCTTCTATCTCTCACGCTACAAAAATAGAATTGTTAGGAGCTTGGTGCCCTTGTCTCCATAGCGACGGCAGTGCAGTTCTCTTGGCTCTCCTCTTGGTGTGTGTGTGTGTGTTTGATAGGGATGAGGGTCTGCTCCAAAGCTCTCTTTACTCTCTAGATATACGTCTCTTACCTTAACTGATGCTCATTGCGCTTCTGATTGTAATCTGAGCAAGTTTAAAATATTATGGCATTGTTTCACTTAAATCCCATAAATATGACATGTTTATAGCATATCTCAGCCAAATATTTTTTTTTGTTGCCCTAAAGTCATGCCATGGTGCTATAAATAAATAAATGATAAATATCTTCTTACTCTCAAAGATTGTAGGCTTGACAGGAAGATTTAGGCAAAACACTCAAAAATCTATAAATTATTATGTTTTAATTGGTTATTTCTAACTATGTAAGGATGACAGCCAGAATGAGAAGGTCCCATTGCCATTTGATAATGATAGAATCACATGAATTTTATTAGATAAATTGGGCAGATCAAGGGGTTGAGAAGCAGACATTTAAAGATAAAGACCTTTCCATCTCTCAAGTCTGACTGTGATGAGCTTTTGGAGGAACAAGATAAAAGCTCATTCTGGGCAGTAAATGTCAGGTATGGGTGCTCTATTGGATTATGTTTCTTTGTGCAGAGTTTTAGAGCTTAATTCAATTCCTAATCAATGTGCCTTGGCAGGAGGCCTTTCTCTCTGTCAACATTAGGTTTTATCTCTGCTAACTCGCCTTCCGTCTGAAGAGTGGGCTGATGTGTTTTTCAGTCAGTCACGGTCGTATTCTAATCAGTCTGATTTATCTCTGGATATAATAAACTGAAATACTAACATCTGAATGAAATGCCGAAACGTTTCTCTAAACAAGCAATAAAAGTTTACCCAGTTTTACTGTACAGTGGTTTATCCAGGCATCCAGAATTAAACATCAGAATTAAAATGGCTAAGATCTTGACAGGGTAAAAGGTGTTTTTTACACTACTATTGAGAAATTTTAACCAAACTATGTTACAGACTTTTCATTAAGACCCTAAAGAATCATATCAACTTGTGGAAAATGGGCATCCTATGACCCCTTTAAAGGGATAGTTCACCCAAATTTGCTCACCGAGATTATTTGAAATGAGATGAGAGTGTGTAAATATTGACAAAAATTGGGATAGTTCACCCAAAAATAAAAATTCTCTCATCAGTTACATACCATTTTGCTCAAAACCCATAAGAATTTTGTTCATCTTCAAGCATGCATGTTTGAGTTTTCCCATTTACCATATTTCATGTGCTCTATTGTATGAGCATTGATCAATGTTTTATGTGAATAAAAGCTCAGTTCAAATTATAAAGTGATCATACCTCTTCAGAAGACTTGGACTAATTTAGCTTGATTCATTTCTTTATGAACTTTTTGAAGTGTCAAATTTTGGGTGGAATGGACTTTCAGTGGAGGGACAGATATTTATCAGGTTTTGTTAAAAAATATATTTTCATTTGTATTTTGAAGATGAACAAAAGTCTTATAGGTTTGTGGGTGAGGATTTTTAAAATGTATTTATTTATTTATTTTGGTGAACTAACCCTTAAAAATAAATAAATAGATCACTTAATATTTACATTTTTAATTGATCAGATTTGGAAAAAATGGTCAGTTCATCACAAAACTGTCATATAACTTTAGAAGAAAAAGTGCATGAGTGTGAGTTAATGACAGAATTTTCATATTTGGGGTAACTAACCCTTTAGGAGATAAAGGAGGGATAATATTTTAGATGATGTGAGTATATATTCCTAAAACACAAAATATTGTACTTCGATATCTTGTATGGTTGTCACATGAAGGCAGTATAAATGTGCTAATCTAGATCAGTGTGCATTGTTCTCTGTTAACACACACACACATACTCTCTGACTTGAAGGAAAGCAGCCTTTTACTGTACAAGTTTGTTTCCTTCTTGTTTTTTTAATCAAGCTAAGTTACATAACCAGTGAAATGGCTCATATGTTTTTTTTCCCCCCTTTCAAGAAGCTTGTGCTTTTTTCTTCCAAAGCTTATGTTCCTCAGATACTCTCAGTGTCAGGGGTGGCTGGCTGGCTGCTTCACTCTTCCCACTGGCAGAAAGAGGCTGTGTGGATGGGAGCGATTGTCAGCTTTGTGGCTTACGTGGTGACAGGGGGGACAAAGGTGTGAGGAGAGTTGGCCCAGCCAGTGGTATCAGGAAGACAGAGCCCCGCACAGCTCACTAACTCTGCTCAACAGAGAGAAAATGTATGAAAGAGACGGAGAGAAGAGTGTGAAACAGACAGAGAGAGAAAGAGAGCGCGTGTGAAAGGGAAAAAGAGGAACTATGTTAAAGAGGCGGCAGTTCAGAGAAAACGTAACGCACAAGTGCCAGGGAGGGAGATGAAATGCTGCCACATGTAGATGAGAATAAGTCAGGTTAGAGTGCACTGGATTTAACTATAATACAGTTGGAAATACAGTAGATCACGGTTAAAAATGCAGTAAAATGTGTTAAAACCATTTCCATTAAAAAAGTCATTTTAAAATGTCTTACTTTACAGTGTTACATTAGTGTTTTTATATACTTTTATAGTATGTATTATTTTGAATATATAAATATAGCTTTTTTATTTCAGTTTAAATTTTAGTTAATTTAATACTAGAGCTTTTAATACTACAACTTATTTTATTTAAGTTAGGTGACAAGCAATATTTCAACATTGTCGTTTTATTTCAGCTTTATTTCAATTTAAAAAAAGTTATAGTTTACAGTAGTGACGCTGTCTTTGTAATGTTAAATTTAATATTTAAAAAATGTCTTTTAAACATGACATTTTATCAGAGCAATGGACTATTCAAAAAAGTTTCAGAATCTTATAGCTAAAAACAACTTTCTACTGATATAATCAAGGCCAGATGGTTGAGGAAGAATAAAACCCAACTAGGGATGTTCATATTAACCGTTTAACCGTTAACCGAAAGTAAAAAAAAAAAATTGACCGATTAATACTATCAGTTTAAACCGTTTAAAAGGTAATTTTTTTAAGTATTGACTGATCACGGGTTGAGAGTAGTATAGGATAGATGACTGACAGACCATGCTGGAGTATTTGCTGCTCAGCAGATCCTGAACTCAATGACAAATATCTGATCTTGTAAGATTAGACGTGCTCCTTTACACAGAGTGCGTGTGAACGCGAAATCGAAAGTGAAAGTGAACAGCGAGCCCATTCAAGAGCGATTTCACACACGTGAAAGCGGAACACACACATTGCGGGAGAGCGGGCGGTAATGGTCAGTTTATAAAAACTAGACACATTGTGCACTGAGGTAGGCCTGCTATTTATTTTTATGTCTGACGGAAAAAAAAAAAGACTGCCGGTTCTTTAAGGTGCATAGAAGGTTTAAGTGTGTTTTCGTTTTGTCATCTTAATGTTAATTATTTAATTGAACAATATTTAGTGTAGGCCTATTTATTTTATTATTTTTATTTGTTATTTTATTTAGTTTTTCTCTGTTCTCAGAAGTGCTGCAGGTGCGTGATAATTTGACGATGTGTGAAATTAATTAATTATTATTATTTTTATTTGTTATTTTATTTAGTTTTTCTCTGTTCTCATAAGTGCTGCAGGTGCGTGATAATTTGACGATGTGTGAAATTAATTAATTAATTCATTCATTCATTCAACAAGTAACGGTCGGGAAAATTAACCGGAATGAACATCCCTAAACCCAACTACTTGTAGTTAGGTACACTTTGATGTTGACTTGAAGCTTTTACAGTCCATACAGTTGTTACACAAATAGACAAAGACTGTCAGATAGATGCTAGCTGGTTGCGTTCTAGAGAGTTGCTAAAGCATTTCTAGGGTGTTTGTACTGGAGTGTTAGTAATCGTTGCGGATTCTGGTGAGTCGGGCGCTGTGTTGATGAAGTGTATGTGAGTGGACACTGGACAGAATGTCAGCGTGGCTGACATGATGCTGATGAGAAACGTAAGCGTGCGCTTTGCATTCTTAGACTCATGCTGCTTGCATATTTTGCGTTATGCCTGTCTCTGGATGACACTTTATTAGTTGTGCAAGAATTTGCTTTGTATGTGAACACTTCAAATGAACCAGACCATGGGGTGCATTTTGGGAATGTAAAATGCTCCAGACTTGCTTTATTTTCACTTCCCCTAACATCATATATATGACTTTTCTTTGTTTCCTATACAGCCATGTTCAACCTCATCCCGGTTGGCTTGCGAGTGGTGGCCATCCAAGGAGTTCAGACCAGACTCTATCTGGCCATGAACAGCGAGGGCTACCTGTATACATCAGTAAGTAACTGCAACTTTCTAATGTAGATGTTTGTTTATGCGTACTATACTTCACTCCTACAGCTGTTTTAAATCAAGAGGGGAAAGTCACAACAAACTGCTGCTCTCAGACCAACACCTGAGCTCTAGTCATTAACACTCACTCCACCAGTGCACCCAACTCTCATCTCCTGCCAAATCATGATATCAGACACTCCAGATAAACAGACCTCCTTGTGACCCAAGATCAAATGGTCACATAGCCTGTAAGATACGTTCCTGCTCCCGAACCCCTTACTGCGCTGAAAAAACTGTCACTCCCAAGAGCACGGCACGGTGTTTCACAGATTTATCCATATAAACAGATGAAGCATCCACTGTGCGCTAGTCTCACACCCTCTCTCCATATGGCATGCTGTCAGAAAATGAGTTAAGTTACAGCTGTGACAAATATGTCTGAAATGAAGAACTGTACTTATCCAGAGTGAGCAAAAGGGCTGGCAAAATCACTCTGGACCCCTCACATCCAGCACACTCCCTCTTTGAACTGTTGCCATCTGGTCGACGCTACAGAGCACTGAGCACCAGAACGACCAGACACAGGAACAGTTTCTTCCCTCAGGCCATCCATCTCATGAACACTTAACAATAACTGTGGAACACACACTATTGACTCATACACTTATTTATCTAACACTCATACTCAGTCTACACCTCAAATTTGCACATAATATACAGTACCTGTACATACAAAAACTGTCTATTGTAATATACCTGCACATACAACTGTCAATTTATATATTTTTATTCCTTATTTACTTGTTCTATTTTTTATTATCTGTGTTTTTTGTTCTGTCACTGTCATTCTGTTACACTGTGGAAGCTTCTGTCACGAAAACAAATTCCTCGTATGTGTAAACATACCTGGCAATAAAGCTCATTCTAATTCTAATTCTAATTCTAATATCTCAAGATGTTTTCATAACCTCAGATCTACTCTCGTAGTTTAGATTATGCGCAGCCCGTCACGCTAAGTGGCGTGATTACAGGGTGGATGGCTTAGAGATGTTTGTTTACTGGCTGCGGTCGGGCCGAACTTTGCCCTCCTCACCCCCTCACAGTCCTGACCTTCCGCCTGCCTCTACCAGACGAAATGTCGGTGCTCTGGCATTCGTCTTGGTTACTATGGTGATGCAGGCAAGGCAGTATGTGGGTTGTGGAAATGTACACCAGTCCCAATCATTTTGTTCAGCTTCAGTGAAAGATAGATGAGACTCTCTGCTTTCATAAGCACACGTGTAATCATCCTTAATTAGCAACATACATATGGAGGACTGCTTGTAATTGCTCTTAATGTTTAAAAGTACATGCAAAATACTATGAATCATCAATGCGTTCAGTTGTCAAGCCTTTCTCTGAAATAGGATGAGTTTTCCCAGGGCATGAATTGAGTAACATGGCTTTCATTGTAAAGATGACTAATATCGAAATACTGAAACATTTAGAAACTTGTGAAAATATGCTGAACAGGCAGCCTACATCCCAGCATTGATTAACTGCGTGAAGACATGAATAATGCGTAACCTACCTACCAAACTTCTGCTGCAAGACAAATGTCAGAATTTCACTATGTGGTTGGCATTACTGGAGCTCGTCTTGTCTGACAGGAGAGAGTGGGCACAAATGAATACACAGTCTCAACAACAACAACACACTCTCTCACTCAACCTCAATCTCGAGGCTGACAGAAATCCTCCATATTATGAATAACTGGAATGATTGGACACTAAGCTTTGGAGAAGGATCATTGAGGAAAAAATACAGGAAGCAGATGTTGCCTGAGAAAGCTGGCCTGGTTCGAGATTGTAATGAATCAACTAATTGACTTCATCGACCAACTAGACAATATTAGTAAAGTTTACTATTTTCTCTAGATTTTACACAGATGCACACAGTACCAGTAAAAAGTTTAAGGTCAGTAATTTATTTAAGTGTTTGAAGGAAGTCTCTTGTGCTCACCAAGGATGCATTTACTTTATGCACAGTAAAAATAGTAATATTATGAAATATGGTAACACCTTAGTATAGGGACCAATTCTCATGATTAACTAGTTGCTTATTGGCATGAGTATTACTAGCATATTGGCTGTTTATTAGTACTTATAAAGCATATATTCTGCATACTTAATCCTACCCAATACCTAAACTTAACAACTACCTTACTAACTATTAATAAGCAGTAATTAGGAGTTTATTGAAGCAAAAGTCGTAGTTAATAGTTAGTTAATAGTGAAAAATGGATCTTAAAATAATGTATGACCTGAAATATTATTATAATTTAAATGACCTGTTTTCTATTTGAATATATTTTAAAATGTAATTTATTCCTGTGATGCAAAGCTGAATTTTCAGTAGCCATTTCTCCAGTCTTCAGTGTCACATGATCCTTCAGAAATCATTCTGATATGCTGAGCTGTTTAAGAAACATTTTTTATTATTTTTAATGATGAAATCAGTTTTGTTGCTTAATATTTGTGTGGAAACTGTGGTGTATTTTTCAGGATTCAAAAGAACTGAATTCAGGATTCAGAAGAATTGATTTGAAAACAGAAATATTTTGTAACATTTTAAATGTCTTTACTGTTTCTTTTGATCAGTTCAATCCATCTTTGCAAAATAAATGTATTAATTTTATTTAAAAAAAACAGTAGTGTATAGTGAAAATGAAAAAGTAAATAATAATAATAAAAAGATGTGAACCTCACTAATTTTGACATGTAAATTATTGGATGATGAGGTCGGGATGTGCAGTAGCTGTATGTGTGTGTGTGTGTGTGTTTAGATCCCTTTTTTTTTTTGGATATGTCAAATTAAAAATAATTTAAATTTTACCATAAAAATAGCTTTTTTTTCTGAAAAGAACAAAATCCTTTTCCAAATTAGTTGACTAGTCATTCAAACAACACTAACTAGTTAATTTTGAAAATCAATATTTTTGTACATACCTAGTCCAGGAGCAGTGTTTTTCCAGCAGCTCGCTCATCCATGCTGCAAACCTGTTGCCATCGAATCTGTCCTGCGTAGTGCTGTTTTCAGGACGCTTTGGGCTGAACTCGCCCACAGCAGGCGGGAGAAAGACAAACAAGACAAGAGACTCTCACATGAAGTCTGACAAAAGCATGTAATCTGATCATAACGTTAGGTGTGATACAGCTGTAACATATCCAGCAGGAGCCTTTGGGGATGATAGAGAAGCAATGGGATCTAAACACACACACATACAGCTACTGCACATCCCGACCTCAAGCACACTGTAACTCACGGCGGTTCTATGTTCCCACTCAGTGACTTTAATGATGTGTGCTTCAGCATCTGTAATGAAAACATATGTGCCGGAGTGCTCATTAAATTAAAGCTCTGTTCTCAACAACAGTAACATTGTGTCACCGTGTGGCATCCTGGTCGACAGCAGAAGGACGGAGGCTATATTTAACGCTTCTCTGAGTGACAGCACAGCAAGTTTCTGTAGGTGTTAATATTTTATTCTGGCTGTAACCGTTAGCCTGGAGAGTGTTAATACACATAGGTCTTTGAACATTCACCTCCATTTGCTCCCTGTATTCATTTCCATTTTAAAAGCTTTTCCTGCAGTTGCATTCCATTGTAATTGTCCAATATTTAATATACAATTTTGTGAAATGTTCAATAATATGGACATGAGGCGATTTTTGGGTGAATGAAAGCAGAATGTGCTGATGTTATTGAGTATACTGTAGCTCTGTGAAGTAATCCAGTGCTTACACAGTGGTGGAGAGCTTTCAGCTGGCATAAGTGGTTGGTGATTATGGGTGAAGGATACCGAGTGTGTGGCATTACAGTAATCTAAACAGTATTATAAGGTCTTTTAATGATTTCACGAATTCGCCTGCCCATTCAGCCCTGCCAGGTAATGGTAAAACGAACTTGGCTTGCTGTCCGTGAAGGAGGCTCGAAACCCGAGGCTCGGCTTGAGCTCCGAGTAAGAAGCCCCCACCTATGATGATACGGTGTGGATGAAAGAGAAGGGATTTAAAGGAGGAGAAGGGGTGGTGGAGGGATGCCGGAAGAATATTCGCTTTGACGGAACAATGACTGCTGCTTATATACGGTCGAAACGATGATTGGCAGGACTGGTTGATTAGGCTCCTCCCGAACCTGCATTGCGAACTTCATTTAATGTGCTGTAATTCTGAAGTCTCTCTGTGTTCTTGTAATATGTGTGTGTGCGCGCACTTCTGGGGTTTTTATCCCCCTCACTGTCTCTTTATGTCTGCTGCTATGGAGCCACACAGCCAGCCAATCACACACCAGTGATGTTGGGAAATCCCCAATCAACGGAGAGTAGGTACTGTAGTGAGTGACGTATGAGAGGTTTGAAGCGGCTCTTGTTCTGTTGGGAGGGTTTACACCTGTTTCTGTTTGTAGTTTTCATTGTAGATTTTCATTTCCCCTTGTCTGTGTTTTTCTGTATTTTGTCCTTAGTTATATATACAGTACACTACAATTCAAATGTTTTGGGGTCAGTATTTTTTATTTATTTTTTTAGAAATTAATAATTTTATTTAGCAAAGATACATTAAACTGCTTAAAAGACATAAAAGACATTTAAGATGTTGCAAATTATTCTATTTCAAATACATGCCATTCTAGTCATCAAAGAATACTGAAAAAAATGCATCACAGTTACCACAAAAATGTGAAGCAGCACAACTGTTTTCAACATGTTACTTGAGCACCAAATCAGCATTTTAGACGCTGAAAACACCATTTATGTATGCATACTTCAGTATGCAGTATATAAAACGGCGCCACTCAGACATGCAGAAACAAGCAGATTATTCATATAGCAGTCTCTTTGCGCTTTAATATTCACAGACACATATCATAACTACTTTCGATTTATCCATCCATCCGATTGCGCGTTTTACGTGACATCCTCGTTATACTGTAAATTCCATGTTCACGACTGCACTCACAGACTT